GAGTGCCCGCACCACTACTTTTTCACTCGCAATGATCATTCAAATCTTTCCTGTACTCTTTCACTCAAATGGGCGGTCATGAGAGAGTAACGAAAACTGGCGCACGAAAGCGCATGGTTAATCGTTGTAAACACCGTTATAATTCCAAAAGGCGGTGCTGGTCGATGATATTCGTTTATGCAGAATTACAGATGGGAGGTTAATAATTTGGCATGCATAACACAACAACCTAATCAGAAGCGTGTCAGCGCAATTCTTTCCGGCACACAGGGTAATGTATAGAGCAGTCAGTAGTTATTCTTCCAAACATATCACTTAGCCCTCGTTGATCTTGTTATATTTTGCTCATCGAAAGTTACCTACTACTCACAAGTGAGTAGTATCTCACAACAACCGAATTGCCAACTGATGGCGCTGTGGAGAACAGCAGAGTGGCGAAGCAGACTTTCTTGACCAAGGATATTGAACGCGAAAGTGTTAAACACCAGTCGAAAGATCCTATATGAAAAAATGAATCGTAGCTGCTCACCAGGCCGAACTTGGGAAAGCGAAAAAATCACATGCCAGCAAACAGTATATAGACCGAGCCATCAGGATCTGACAAAGAATATGCGTCCAATAGCACGATAATTTCTAATTCAGAATACATTGGGTTTCACTATATTAAATACAAACTGCAGATTTGGTATTAAAAAACTGATTGCCTCTATACTTTTGACACACACTATATATTTTGAACCAGTTTGGCTACTGCTTTCTTCGAGATTTGAAACTGTTTACCCTAGCAATCAAGTGCATTTATCGGGTTACTGTTGGGAACGTTGACGTAGAAGTTCACTTAAAGACGCAACAGAAATATGCTGCTGACAGCTCAGATCTAGGCGTCATGACGTCCTAGTTAACGGCTCCACGTAGATGCAACAAACAACTGTTTGATTATGCTATCACATTAGAATCAATAGTCTTACGGATTGCTGCTTTGTTTTTGTTTCAAGTCCACTTCTAACGTGCTTTTTTATCTTCAGCGTCAACTAATTAATCTGAGCCAACTAACTATTCGTGTAAAACACTACAGGGCGGTGAGGGGAAGCTGGCTTAAACGGGTAATTATTTATTTTTATTGACGGGGGAGAGAGAAAATCCGATACACTGAAACAGCTTCTTCGGCAAACCTCAAAAACCTTGATTTTACAATTCTAGTGTTACAGTCTGTGGTTGCCAATCAACGGAGCCGATGTCGTCACTACTAAATGGGTTAATCCAAACTTTCACCGTCTAAATTAAGTCGCTATGTTCGCACAAACATAGTCCAGCATTGTATCAGGTTGCAGCCAACCATCAAGAATGGGAAGGTACGATAGATGCACTTTCTAAGGATATGTTTCGGTGCCTTCAAGTAATTGGAAACAGTCCCTGAAAACAGCGTTACGGGTCAGTGTATATAATACTGTACCGCATAAATTCAAATTATTGCTCATTTTTGTAGTCTATCAAAAAAGGCTTAACAAACTAGGATGCAAATAGACTTCAATAGAAGTGTCGAATAAAATGAAAATAAAGTATAGTACGAATAAATTAAATTTCACTACTCCGAATCAGGTACTATCATATTTCGGTTCTGAAAATCAATATCTTTATTTAAATGATGAATCTCGTCGTATACAGAATAAATTAAGGGTTACCTAGATCGGTTTTTATCGGTAGTGCGAATCTGTCTACTCAACTGAGGCTTGAAACTCACAGTTAGGAAGTTTGCGTTCTATCCATTGGACCACCCGGTAGCAGATGAGACGGCTATTTTTCTTCTTTTGTAAATGATGAAATTCACCAAATTATTATGTCAAATTCTTCACTGCTTTAGTGAAACAGCCGTATTGAGCTTTAGTTTACGATCATACCTTAGCAAAAACAACTGTGAGATCGTGAGAAGCAACTGAGTAAAAACAGGTCTAGAAGTATAAAGTAAGAAAGACGTGAACAAAACACCGGGAAATACATGAACTAAAAAATACGCTTCCCGAAGAGATACGTGCCGGGCTTCATACATGCTTACAGAATTTTGTTACATTTTAATACAACAACAAGAACCAATGGAGAGAAAGCTTCCTTTAATCATAGTGCAATACGGTTCTTCGATCAAGAGCGGTAGTTCTGCCTCTTTGCCAAGCGAGTTACGGGGACAGTGCTCCTTTCAGGTTGATGCAGTTTACGTAACATCATTGGAGATGGGGACTGATAGAACCGGTCCCGGTATACAACTACGGTGGTTCTCAAGCGTACGGCGTTCACGTGTGACAATGAAAGGTGAGAAATTACTCGTGAACAACCCTGGTAAAACTAATTTCTTTGTGACAATAATTAGCGCACAGTAGCAAAGAACGTTTCTCCTCTATCACAGAAGAGAGTTCTATGTCAATAGTCGTAGAAATAAGCACATTCGTCACTCGACAATTGAAGATATCATCCAAGTTATTGATGAGAACATCCGAATCAAAAGCGAAAACGAAGTGACCATCTATTCATTAGTGGAATTCTACAGTAGCAACTAACTGCAACTTCATCCTTCCCGTCCAAATTGTTTCATCCAGGTAGTGGCGGACTTACGAACGCGCTCCAGAATTGTAAGGAAAATGCACCGGTGACTGTTCCTTTTTACAAGCATCATCATGTGCAGACTAAGCAAGATAACAGCATATGTTTCGTGAATCTATCGTTCAATGCTTTCATACAGATGCAAGGGTAGAGATAACGCCAATCCACAACGACGAATTTTGTTCGATCCGGATGCACTGGTTTGCGCAACACCACTTACCCCGAATAAAGTCAGAAAGACACTAACAATATTCGCGAGCAAACACTCTTACGTTTGAAGCGCGCGAAACGTGAACTACGGCAGTCAAGCAACAAAGTGGTAGGTATGTGTTACACATCGAAACAGGCGTTTACGGCCCATGGTCATATGGATCCATTGTATGGTTCTGATAACTAGTCTTGTATATTGCCTCAGCAGACAAGGTATTTAGTGGATTTAGTCGGCAGCAAAGGTCACACACGGCGATGATACATTTCGAAACTCAGCGCCTTAACCAATCCAATCACCCTCACAAATAGGTCGAACGTTTGTCCATAATCGTAGCCCGAGGTAACAGTACATATGCGCTAGGTGAGGCAACCCAGAAGCGAGAACGGACTAACGGAACCTAGTGGATTTGGGACAATGATGATAGAACAAGAATCCCACACCGGGAGACACTAATCGCAAACATGCTGTGAAGAAGATAGGTTGCTGTTACCACATAGGGGAACGACGTGATGCAATCAGCTAGCGTGCAAAGTTTTAACGCGCCGAACCTCTCCGAAACAAAGCTTATGTAAAACATTGTATGTAGGAGTGATTCTCATACAGCACTTACAGAAGATCCATCTTGTTGCTCATTTAAGTTATCAACAGCGATATAAGAAATAATGAAAGTACTGACATTTGCATTCTTCTAAATTTCTCCGTATTTTTGATACAAATTCTTTTGGAATCCATCGATAGTAGATCAGTAAAATATCCTCGAATGTTGATTTTCACGATGAAAGTTTTGATTAAGAATCTCCCGTGATTTTACACTTAACTTTGTAAAATATTTTGAATAGATCGTCATCAGCGGATAGAGCAGTTCCAACGCTATCATATCAACGATCAGGGTCCTGTAACACGAAAACACATGGGTGCATTGAATCCTCTACAAAGAAACCCAGAGGTCTGCACGATTAAGTTACACCACGGATCGGGCAGTGTGAACCGTGATTACTGTCCGAATTTGCAAAACGCTTCAACCAAGTTCCCTAAAGACTCATCGTAGAAACGATCAAACGGAAGAGACTACATAAAAAGCAAATACAATACAAATGATTCATATATGAAGATTACATCTTATCTGGACTGTATCATGACAGTGACATCTAATATAGTACATCTACGTAGCTTACCGAAGATTCACAAGCCTAGATTGACGTGCTGTATCGATAAATAATTCAACATCATACAACTGTCCGGTAGATAGCGGAAATTATAACATTCGTAATGTAGAGACTGTCAGCCCATACAATCTGAGATGACTTTTCGTTTGACATTTCAGTGGAGAAACCGAGCGTATAGGAGAACTAAATTTTCTACTTAGATTTCGGTACTTTATTTATCAACTTATCACTGATCGAACCGGTGAACTTCAGGTTTGAATATCGATAAAGAAGAAACAAAACAGGTTTGACAGATTTGTAAACAACGGTGTTGATTGACATAGGTTTATCGGCAATGTATCTCAAATGGCTGATACTGAAATATACGTTCATGGTACACATTCCGTTCGACAACGTCCACTGCTGACAAACAGACCACTCTCATCGGGGGCGATCCGCGCCATGTACTTATGGTGAAGCTCGATGCAGCAACCGTTCAAAAGAACCAATCGGAACCGGTACTGGGGCGATGCAGATGACATTATTTTCAGAGACTAAAGATCGGACTGATTTCATCCACTGGGGTGAAGTGAAAGAGAGCAACCAGATACTGTTCTTGATTTGATCAGACATCTAGATGGATCCGAAGTGACTTCAGTTGACTTTAGTCAACTATCATAGTCAGATATCAGAGTTTCGTGTCAATTACCTGCATAGAGTTAGAAAAATCTAGCCGGTAGACGAAGTAGATAAAATATCGTTGATAAGGAAGAAAGATAATAGCTAATCCGAAAGACCTACCGAAATAATCCACAGTAAACCAGTTGGAAATCATTAAAGCAAACAGCGAAATCAAATGGTGCGGTATTTTTATTTACAGTCGCGTCTGGATAATGTACAAGAGATCGGGATAATGTGGAAATAGGTCAATACGGATACCCGAATAATGCACGAGAATTCATTTAAACTTTGTACTTGACAAAGAGAGGGGAGTCGCGGTCATTGGATTGCTCGCGTTGCCACTCAACGCGTCCGGATGCGAGGACGCCGAGGCTGTTGTAGATTGAGCGGGGGATTGCACTAGCGGAGTGCCGCATTCCTCCTCGATGGCGTACAGATCCGCTGCCAGTTTGTCTCGAAGACGGGAGCTGACACGATCTAGATCAGCACGACGTTTGCGCAACTCCTCACTCGCGGATGCAGTGGTCAGAGCAAGCCAGTGGAAATCGCCCAGAATGAGGAGTTGTTTGATTTCCGACACAAGTCGAGTAAGATTTTCGCAAGCGTGTACCTGAACAAGGGAGTAGGTGAATAGGATAGGACGGTGTTGGTGGAATTAGCATAGTGTAAGTAATCATCTTCAGTGATACCATTTTGGTTGGAGTAGGGATTAGACTGGGATTAACAACTATCCGGAGAGAATGAATTTGATCTGTATTTCATTTGTGTGTGACTCATACAATTGCTCACATCACGATCAGTGCATACTATGCCAACTGTCAAAGCAAACTTAGTAAAACGTGACAATACTCTTGTATAGGATACACCAACACGTTCGCCAACCTTTCGGTTGCATATTACACCAGTCAGGTAAGAAACGGAAGAACTCCCATAAATATTTACACCAGAGGAAATGGGCCAGAACCCAAAGTATTGAGAGGAAGGGGGTGGAAGCAACAATGAGATAGGAGTGAGAAGGGTCCGGAACATATCAGTACAGTTAATATTCCATAATAGACAGCTTCACTGCGGTAAGGCTAACTCCTCCAGTTAATCACACCCAGTCTCATGGTTTCATTTGTCGCTTTTCAAAATTGAACAGTAAGCCTCAATGACTATGCGAGTCACTCATTTTGCTGGTCATCGAACAATAGTGCGTAATGTATTTTTAAATTGACAGAGATCTACATGCTGATCTTCAGGTTCGACAACCAATTCATCATGATTGCAAAAGTGCGACAGGAGTGTTGGTATGGAAACTTGTTTAAGTAGACTAGGGGAGATCACAACAAAGCAATAAAGTCGAATGGGAGGAAATATGCAGAGAGAAATGTAAAAGAAGTTTCCGTCGGATTTGAAAACAATTCTCCGCGGAAGGAACTGCAATAAGACGGAGAAGAAAAGAAAATCTTGACTCGTGTTTGAAATCACCAGTTGACTCGTAAAGGCACTGGTTCAAGCCAAACCCAAGGTTTAGCATTCACTAGGTGAAAACAAAATGAAGAAGTAAATGTCCTTTTAGGACAACGCATTTTTCAGTCCGAGATCGTTTACATATCGTGCACGACAGGGTATGCGACTATCATTGTTAGGCACAAGTAAAGTCATGGAAGTAGAGCCTCATGAAGCTCCGGAGCATTGTGGAGGGGGAGTTACATAACCGTTGTGGTCTAACGATCGGAAACCCGGTTACGTAAGCTAGGTACTTTATATAGACAGTCGGGAATGGTAGTTAATGCTAAGACCGAATATAATCACACAACATTTTTCGTGAAAATACTGAGCGCGTAAACTAGATATTTTTAGAAGACAGATCACTAAGGGGATGATTAATAAACATAGAGATATTTCTACTACTTCAGAAAGCTTCATTATGGTATGGGGTAGTTGTATTGGATTGTGGCTGGTTACCATCCCCTTGCATCCCTCTGTATGCTCCCATACGAACAATCGTCTCAAACAGCCTCTGTTAAATAAGCTCTTCTCATAAACTCCAAGTTGTGGAGCTGTTTCCCCATCGAAGGGAGGGAATAAGCCAACACCCGGGGTCGTTACTGGGTCGGTTTTAGTTTCAGTTTTTACACCCATTGATCGTGCATTTTCGTGCTTCGTTTTTGGTTGCTGTCTCATGACGGGGTCAGTGAATCACTGGTGGTTTACTTCGAGTTGGTTAAAACCCCGAATCCAAACCGACCACGAGGTGTACGAAAGACACACCTTGGTTGCGGCAGTGGTCAGCGGCTCAATTTGGCACCGAGGTGTATGAGACACTCGGGATGTTTGACCCATTCCGGAGGGTGTATGATCCGATGAACTGGAACGGGCCCAAATAGGTTGCGGCTTTCGACACACCGCCCCATTGCCTCGCGGGTCAAGCTTTGGCTAGTCAAGGGCCCCGATTGTGAATCTTCAAAAGAAGTTCACTTGCTCTGGCCTGAGCAGCCTGGCACTAACCCTCCCACAAACAAACCATAACCTTTTGTCTTCGCTATGAAGATTACTGCTTCTTAATTTATTTGTCAAACAGTCTGGACTCAGACAAGTTTGAAATATAATACTACTTCTGCTAACTACACAACTATATGAACAATATTCCGGAAAAGGACTACGATTGATTCAAGGGTGTTTGGGGCATAAATATGTGAACAAGTTCGATGGTGGTGATTGTGGGATTCGAACACAACTCCCAAACTGATGTGACGGTGACCATCAAACCCTACGAGAAATGATGGTTCGTATTCAGTCATTGTAGTCTGAAATATGGAAGCAACACCTACTACTGAAAAAATGGGATGAAAAATCATTTATTTACAACATATCCAGCAAAATGCTGTGACGAGTGAAGGTTAATGTGCCGTATCAGAAGCCTCGAGCACACGCACAGGCGGTTATCCGTAACTTGACAAAACAGGAGAAATTCTGAAAAAGATAAGATTTAAATGGAGATGAAACTAAGTCCGTTAATGCGTGAATGAATAGACTTCAAGTGGAGCGGGGAATGAGGAAACACTTGAGATGACGAACGGTAGTGTTCAAAAACAGTAAGAAACATTTTATCCTGCCAAACTGTCGTTTATCATCATAAACACAGCAACGCTTTTATTCTTGCATCTTAATTTATCGCGTTTCTACCCAGTGAGGTTTATTGTGAGCGAAAGCCTGCACCCGCAAACATGAGGTTTAACCACTGCTCAGACAGTAACCACCAGAGTGGCCACTAAAAAGGAACGACAGGTAGAAAGCAGTGCCCACCTAATGTCCACTGGACCGGAACGGCTATCGCATTGACTCTGGACTACGTTGGGAATGGGACAGTCGATCGCCTCAGACACACGTATACTCTATGGAACGAATATTTCCACGTGTCCGCTAAGGGAATCGTTCTATAAAATAGATGCGGTGAATCATTAGGACTCGCACCGAGGTATCGGTGCCATTCTACCCCACGCACAACTGTAGGTACGCTCATCATCGGTGGGCGGACAGTTTCTGACTCTTCAACCGAAAGCGATGACTCAGAAGTCCAGACACACGAACTGATCGACCAGCTATAGGAGGGAGAGGTAGGTCGTACACGTTGTCAGATGAATGGTTTCGTGGTCCTTTTTAATCCCCCCGTTCTGCTCTCCGTCAGTCGAGGAGTTAAGTCTGTGTCGGATCGATTGAGACACGTCATCGGGAGATCACATCGTGCTCCATTCAGTCCCCAAATCAACCCTCTCCACGCAAACACACATCTACAGAGACGGAGTGAGACAGCAAATGACCAGCACACATTGTTCGGGAAAACCGGGGGATCAGTGCTAGTTGGGGATGGGGTAGTGGCAACTGTGTGAATGATTTTGGGTGCATCCCCGTGGCTGATAGTGATTATATAAATATGGAGGCTTATACGTGAAATTCATTATTAGAATGAGGCTACATGCTTAAAAAGTGATCTACGTCGACTAACGTAAAGAAATCGTATTGATACTGATAAAAGGGGCCATAGGGTAGAGATGAACGACCGGTGTCGCTAAACAGCTATTCCTCACTTGAGTCGCACCGAATCACGGCTGATCGGATTTGTTTTCTTTTGAACGCAAAAAAGAATGACCACCACTGGCAGAACGGCTTCAAACGTGACGTTTGCGAAACCCTCGATATAACACACGATCTCCATTTCGCCTGTTCACCGAGCTTAGCAATTTGTTTGCAAACGTCTCATCACCAGCCAAGTTGACAGCGTCAGTGCTTGTGACGCAAATCAGTAAGGTCAGAAGGTCATCGTCCCCCATCTTGAAAAGAGTGGGAGGAAGCCCGTCTGGTCCTGTTCGTTTTCCTTTCTTCAG